AAGCTCTATATTTAGATAGTATTGAGGGCTTGTCCAACCTTTTTAGCAACAATTATGTGTATCCCCGGCCTTTTTCATAATGGTAGCCACGCCCCTGACCAACAAAGGTAAATTTGTTCGTACCATCTACACAGATTGTCTGTTAGTATACAGGTCTGCTGTTTTTGAACTAGAACTTATCTCATCAACTGCAGGTACACTACTATTCATGGATGACTACGGGGATTTATACTCCCTAGATGTGGGCACACTTGATAAGGTATTCCTATACGGGACCAGCATTTTTGAAGATCCCAGTGACCTCAAGTTCAACGAATGCGACCAACTCGTATACATTGTCTACGAGGATAGCGAGTGAGTTATGCCCCTTGATTTAAATTCAGGTACCATCGCCAACCCGGTACGTGTCTGTCAAGCGAGGACTGTATTTTGTTTTGCTGAAAAGATATAAAATATTTAGGTGCTCTGCATTGTACCCGGGGATTTTAAATATCAAATGTATAAAGATTTGCTTCTAAAAGGCATTCCCCTACACGAATCGAGTATGTTTTTATCAGCAATATATATATTACAAACCCATATTACAGAAACTTTTTCATTCACGTTTGGAAGTCTCTCACTACTTTCGCAATAAGAGACTTCCAAATGTGTATGGCGAATTTCCAGTTTTTGTAATACAGGTCTGTGTTTGCTATTAAACAGATAGGTAGATACCGTAACGTTAATTTCAAGAAGAAATATCACAGTGCTTAATGAGAATTATTGGTGATTGTGTTATCTTTTCAGTCAAGTTGAACTGCTTGAGACAGACGGTACGTTGGTGAAGACCCTGACTCTTCCCTTTGAGCCCTTATCGTGTCCCAACATTGACTTTCTCCCGCCGATGTAGAGGGACGACAATGGATAGAGGTGCAGAACATCCATAGTGTGAATGTTATCATCCACAGCCCTAGTAATACATTCACTATTGAAGCTTCCGCAACATTTGAAGTGTCACTGTTGATGAAAGAAGTATCTTCAACACTATTTGTACAAATGGGAATAAAAGAAGCTTCCATAACACTACTAGTGTCACTGTTAATCAAGAAGCATCTTAAACACTACTAGTGTCACTCTAGGGGCGTGTGGGTAGCCTAGTGGTTAAACGTTAGCGCGTCACGCCGAAGGCCCGGGTTTGATTCCCTACATGGGTACAATGTGTGAAGCCCATTTCTGGTGTCCCCTCCCGTGATATTGCTGGAATATTGTTAAAAAGCATCTTAAATACTACTGACACTGTTAAAAGAATATCATAGAAAATCAGCTTCATACAATTTGTTAGGCCAAATATTTAGTATTCCTTAAATTCCACTTGCGCTCATTGATCTTTATGTGCACTTCTGTGAATGAACTCATGACAACAATGAAGTCATCAAATAATCTCAACTAAAGTGTCTCGATTTTGCGAAAACACTGTGTCGAAATGTTCCACGCAATATAATTCCTTCGTTCTAATAGTGAATTCAATGACAAGCGTGATAATTGGGTCAATTATATACCGCCTTATTGATGTTACGTAACACCGATACGTACATGCATACACTTATAGTATGTAAGTGAGTGAGTTGGGTTTTACGCCGCTTTTAGCACTATTCTAGGAATATCACGGCGGGGGACACCAGTAATGGGCTTCACACATTGTAACCATGTGGGGAATCGAACCCAGGTCTTCAGGGTGACGAGCGAATGCTCCAACCACTAGGCTACCCCACAACTCCTCTGTACCCTTATACAGTACAGTGCAAATATATAATCCCATATACACAATGTGTGTCTAAAAATGGATTAAAACGTGGCTCTCACTTATTCTTTTACACTCCAAGATTTAGATCCGGGGCAGAATAGGTCTTCAGCAACCCATGCTTGCCACAAAAGGCGACTATAACTGTACTAAGAGGCGACGAAAGGGATCGGGTGGTCAGGGTCGCTGACTTGGTTGACACATGTCATCGGTTCCCAGTTGCGCAGATCGATGTTCATGATGTTGATCACTGGATTGTGTGGTCCAGACTCGATTATTTACAGACCGCCGCCATATAGCTGGAATATTGCTGAGTGCGGCGTAAAACTAAACTCACTCACTAACTCGAAGATTTAGACAAACCAACACTGCGTTACCCATCAGTGAAACACAAATTAACTTCGTCCAGACTTCAGGAGGGAAGAATAATATTTTATGAGCGCTTCTTCTGGATGAGGGACGTTTAATGATGAATTTAACGAGTCTGATCTTGTTGATAAATATTTCCCACGGTAACCATTCGTGTTGTTGCATGACAGCTCTCAGCATACAGGCACGACAGAGATATTAGTCACGCAGGTTTGAACACATCCTACAGACAGAGTGGGGAGTGAAAATTGGTTATTCCTGTTCAGGGGAGGTAACTCTAACAACATTATAATGTTTTCAAGAGGTCTCACTTCTCAGATTTGGACACTGTAGGCTAAAATGCTTACAGGGGAATTATAGATAAGATGGTCTCTTCTAAAACTGGCCATTGAAATTTGGAGACGCCTGAAAATATTGAACATTATCTTATTACATACCCTGGGCATAACAGCATATGACAAAATCTCAGAAGCGCTGTACTTGAGGTTGATGATATATTTTCTTTAGAAACAGTTTTGGGCCCCCATATCATGTATGGGTCCGTGCAACGAACAGTTTTAGTTGTCTCGTCATCTGGAAAATATGATGTAATCTAGACAGTCTCTAATGGCTAAGACAGATTTAGTTCTGTGAGTTAAAATCATTTTAACGCTATGTTACATTAACCTACTGCTTTTGTATTTTTCATGTTTCAGAAATGGAAGTGATTGCTTCAGGTTTTTAATCCGTAACACGAACCAGAGATTATTCTATATAGGTATACGTCTATCCAAATGAACATTAATAGTGATGTCGTTTCATTTATGTTATCTAAACGATTCCTTTTGGCGATGTAATAACCTGTGATTTATTTTAAGTTAAGTCAACGTGTTGGGCCCACGTCGACCTAAAACTATAAAACCAACCAACCTAATGTTTGAGGTTTTACTATATTCTATACAAATCAGATTAATTAGTTTTCGTAGCCTTCAGTGAAAATTGAATCATTGGACAGGTGTGATTGGATGATTTTTTGTGAGATTTTTGTGTTTGATAATTGTCCATTATGCAATAATAAAAACTGACAATGTTTGTTTTTTACCAAATGTAATGCTGAAATGTGTAACATGATCGCTTAAGCTGAATGTGACTACAGACACTTTCAGGTGGGTGACATTTTGTGCAGAAATGGGTCCGGTCTGTTTACCTTGCTGTACTTGGAAAAGAAACTAGATTAAGCTCGCCATGCCATGTGTGTGTGTGGGTGTGGTGTGTGGTGTGTGGGTGTGGGGTTTAATATGTAATAGCTGTTGAGGGCTAATTTACTTAGTTTTGAAAAATATAACGTTACTTTAGAAATCCATGGTAAAAAATTTGTTGCTTTTTGTTGCTTTCTGAGACTGATTGTGTAAAGTGTGGCTTGAACTCTTGAAATAGACTTCACCTTAGACTGATAGACGCTGGAGGTGTTGGGCAAGCAAACCAGTCCAACTGAATCTCGTCAGTCTCGTTTTGGGTCATTTGGTCATAAAATTTTGTACACGGGAGATGACTTTTAAGGCAGGTGGAGGTGGTGTGGTGTTGGTGTTCGTGGTGTTGATTAATTTATGGTAAAGCATGTACAATGTTAATGACCCGTTGTCTTAATACCTGACACCGCATCTAAAGGCTTAAATCCTGTATTCTTGTACCACTAGTTTAAACCATTATCTTAAAGTGAGCGTTTCTTAAAGCTGTTTGGTGTTTTATGTTGTCTGAATACCTGATATACCTCATCTAAGGCTTAAATCCGGCATTCTTGAAACACTAGTTTAAACCATTATCTTAAGTGGCATTCTTGGTTTTATCAAAGTGTTGTCTGAATACCTGATATCTCATCTAAGGCTTAAATCTGGCATTCTTGAAACACTAGTTTAAACCATTATCTTAAGTGAGGGTTAAGGTGTTGTCTGAATACCTGATACCTCATCAAGGGCTTAAATCCGGCTACAGCTCAGGTTGGTCAGTCAGTCTAATGAAATTGGCTACTTGACGATTGCTGAGGAATATCAAATTATCGCAATTCCCTTCCTACAACTTACCGATCAGTGGGCGGTGGGGTAGCATAGTGGTTAAAGCGTTCGCTTCGTAACGCCGAAGACCCGGGTTCGATTCCCCACATGGGTACAATGTATGGAGCCCATTTCTGGTGTCCCCCGTCGTGATATTTCTACAAGCGGCGTAAAACCATATCCATTCACCAATCCGTGTCGAAATTCTGACGACTATGTATAAAGGGGACTGGAGCATTATGTCCAGGAGGATAACTACATCTTGCCTAATTGTCCTATCATCCACTATATGGCTGAAAAACAATGTCAATGCTACGTGCAATCTTCACTTGACTTTTGACCATGGATGTAATGTATATAGAAGTAAACTTCAAGTGACAATAATTTCCATTTTTTCAAATTATCCTGAACGTTTGAAGACAAACATGTAAGTAAATCTGTGATTTATAAAAAAATGTCTTGCTGGACAAAGAGAGAAGATTTCCCTTACGTTTGATTGTGTGGGATAGTGGCAAAATCAAACAACTGACATTGGCTCTTTAATGGCAAAATAATCAAGCGCTTCCTTTGAATTGTTGTGAATAAACATGGAATGAATTCCACTTGTCTTACATCCTTGTACGAATATTAAGACAGTCCTTCCTAGATCATAACGACTGTGACCGGGATATGGTGGTACGTTTGTCGGACAAAGATATTGAGGGAGCTTAGGAAACCAGTACGTACGAGGAATGGACATGTCTTCGAGGCAATATCTCCCGTGGTAACAATTTTTTGGATAAAGAAATGGTTATACCCCTTCCAGTAAAAAAAATTCCGCCTAGTGCCACATGTTTTTAATCCATATCATACAATGTCAGTTAATGTACCGTCTTCTCATAAAGTGAAGAAAATCAGCTGAAACAGGCATTTGGTTCCAGTATGTACCTTCTTGACTTTGGTAAAATATGATTCCCGATTCTCTTCAGTCTTTTCTGTTGATTATCTCCCCTTCCTCTGTCATTGTCTGGGTTTCCAGATTCTCTAGTTCCGCAGCGTTTGGCGTCATCCGTTATTTGGCACCGGTGTATAATCGACATGGTATAAAGCGATTATTCCACAAGTGCCAAATGAATGTGGACACCCAATATTTCAACATGGAGGTCAATCAGCTTCGTCCTTGTCCATCCTGAAACAAAAGGATTGTAGTACAATAATAGCATCACCCTGAATTATAAATTTACAATAGCAGTTGTCTATTATGGCCATGATATTTCAGGAATATCATGGCCTTAGAAATGTTAATGGTGTAAGGTTACTGCAGGCTAAATGTCAATGATCCTGCCTACACTGAAGTTCCTTCGGTCGGGAACCAAACTGAACCATTACGCTGATCCCCAGTTATGCCCTTAAACGGTAGGGGACATTCAACTTTAAATGATACAAGACATAGATGGACCAGTACGTGGACCGTATTTAATGGACCCCATGCCAGTTTTCGCACAATTGAAAAATCACGCGTTGACTTGTTCAAAGATGGAGATGGTGGGTCCAAAAAGGATACTAAGGACAGCAATACGGCGACATCTATACCAGTGGAATTCTCACACACGATGCATCTTTTCGTTATCACCTATAGTCTGTTTGCAGTGAAAACGTACCGATGAATTTCACTTTAAACAAAAAAGTAAATCAAGTTAAGTGAAATTAAGATTGCGAATCCTCATAATTTTACCTTGCCAAATGAACATTTAAATCTCAGAATTTTATTCAACTTAGGATAAAAGTTGTTTAACAAATGATCATAGATTCAAATCGCTATTATTGGTTTGTATTACAAGGGTGTAAGCGCAGTAGATGGAACATTGAAACAAATGCACGTGCTGTACGTGATGAGCGTTAACTTAGACCAGCCCTACTTGTTCTCGGTGTTTCATCTAATGTGCATACCCCCTTGTAATACAAACCAATAATAGCGATTTGAAAATATGACTATAGTCATATCACTTTATCAACAGACGGCCTACTTGTTCAATAGACCAATTAACAATGTGCATTTGCACAATACGTAGTTATCCGAAGGACATACGAACCCGGACGTTACAACATTGAAATGTCATAGCACCTAACTGAACAACGGAATATCGATATTTTTGAAATTTATAATTACATCTGAATATCACAGAGCAGAGCCAGTCGTCTTCTTATTTTGCATGAAAATGCCAGGTAATTGAATGTGTAAAAGTCAATCTTTTTTAAATGTATTTTTCGGTATCGTATTTCAGGACTCGTTATGATGTCATGTTCTATATAGAATCGATACACAGCACGTCAGTGACGATTGTGAACGGGCTACATGTTGGTAGCTGACGGCAACTCAAATTTGGCCCTGAGGAAAGAGCGCTTGGGAGTTATACGTGAATGAGTATTTTGAATGTTTAACGTCTCACTCAGCTATATTCCAGATGCAGGACGCGCCCGGTAATCTGCAGACCAGAAAAAACTCTAATTTTGTTTTGAGAACGCCCCTTGACACTCAATCAACCAGGTCAGTCCTGACCAACCGATCTCCATAATCGCCTCTTACAACAATCCTAGTTTTACCCAGATACCTAGAATAGAGCCGTTTGAATAGGTTCGAAGCTATGAAAACCCACAGGTAAGTAGATCGTGACAGGCATCTAACACTTTGGTATAACTTACGGGGGAAAAGCAACAGATCCTGGCACAAGTAAGGGATGCAACTCAACACAGCGATCCAAGACAGCAATGTATTATAGGGACATTCTTATGTCGATGAATAATAGGTCTCAATATAACACTAAACTGGCATTGTTATGTGAACAACCACCGTGGGCGGATATAGGCTCTAAGGCCCCCGACAGTTATCATTGTAATCACAGTCGTATAACATCGACCCTTACATTTATTCATCACAGCATTTCCCCTATCTTACATTGACATATGTTTCTTACATACATCGCATTTCACATTTCATCACATGCATATAAATACCAACCTACATCTCACCTCACATTTCATCACATGCATATGTGTATGTGGTATCTTCCCAACATACATGGTACCGTGCCTCACATTCCATCACAAAAACGATCTCCCAACATACATGGAACCGTGCCTCACATTCCATCACAAAAACGATCTCCCAACATACATGGAACCGTGCCTCACATTCCATCACAAAAACGATCTCCCAACATACATGGTACCGTGCCTCACATTCCATCACATAAACGACCTCCCAACATACATAGAACCGTGCCTCACATTCCATCACATAAACGATCTCCCAACATACATAGAACCGTGCCTCACATTCCATCACATAAACGATCTCCCAACATACATTAAACCTCACATTCCATCACATAAACGATCTCACACTATACATGGAACCGTGCCTCACATTCCATCACATAAACGATCTCCAAACATACATGGAACCGTGCCTCACAGTCCATCGCATAAACGATCTCCCAACATACATAGAACCGTGTCTCACATTCCATCACATAAACGATCTCCCAACATACATAGAACCGTGTCTCACATTCCATCACATAAACGATCTCCCAACATATATAGAACCGTGCCTCACATTCCATCACATAAACGATCTCCCAACATACATAGAACCGTGCCTCACATTCCATCACATAAACGATCTCCCAACATACATAGAACCGTGCCTCAAACTCCATCACATAAACGACCTCACACCATACATAGAACCGTGCCTCACATTCCATCACATAAACGACCTCACACTATACATGGAACCGTGCCTCACATTCCATCACATAAACGACCTCACACCATACATAGAACCGTGCCTCACATTCCATCACATAAACGACCTCACACTATACATGGAACCGTGCCTCACATTCCATCACATAAACGACCTCACACCATACATAGAACCGTGCATCGCATTCCATCACATAAACGATCCCCAAACATACATAGAACCGTGCCTCACATTCCATCACATAAACGATCTCCCAACATACATAGAACCGTGCCTCAAATTCCATCACATAAACGACCTCACACCATACATAGAACCGTGCCTCACATTCCATCACATAAACGACCTCACACTATACATGGAACCGTGCCTCACATTCCATCACATAAACGATCCCCAAACATACATAGAACCGTGCCTCACATTCCATCACATAAACGATCCCCAAACATACATAGAACCGTGCCTCACATTCCATCACATAAACGACCTCACACCATACATAGAACCGTGCCTCACATTCCATCACATAAACGATCTCCCAACATACATAGAACCTCACATTCCATCACATAAACGACCTCCCAACATACATAGAACCGTGCCTCACATTCCATCACATAAACGATCTCCCAACATACATAGAACCGTGCATCGCATTCCATCACATAAACGACCTCACACTATACATGGAACCGTGCCTCACATTCCATCACATTTAAGCGATCTCCTCACATACATGCAACTGGGCCCCATCTTCATCACATAAACGATCCCCCAACATACATAGAACCGTGCCTCACATTCCATCACATAAACGACCTCACACTATACATGGAACCGTGCCTCACATTCCATCACATAAACGATCTCCCAACATACATAGAACCGTGCCTCACATTCCATCACATAAACGATCCCCAACATACATAGAACCGTGCCTCACATTCCATCACATAAACGATCTCCCAACATACATAGAACCGTGCCTCACATTCCATCACATAAACGATCTCCCAACATACATAGAACCGTGCCTCACATTCCATCACATAAACGACCTCCCAACATACATGCAACCGTGCCTCACATTCCACCACATAAACGATCCCCAAACATACATAGAACCGTGCCTCACATTCCATCACATAAACGATCTCCCAACATACATAGAACCGTGCATCGCATTCCATCACATAAACGATCTCCCAACATACATAGAACCGTGCCTCACATTCCACCACATAAACGATCCCCAAACATACATAGAACCGTGCCTCACATTCCACCACATAAACGATCCCCAAACATACATAGAACCGTGCCTCACATTCCATCACATAAACGATCTCCAAACATACATAGAACCTCACATTCCATCACATGAACGATCTCCCAACATACATAGAACCGTGCCTCACATTCCATCACATAAACGATCTCCCACCAACATACATAGAACCGTGCCTCACATTCCATCACATAAACGATCTCCCAACATACATAGAACCTCACATTCCATCAGATAAACGATCCCCCAACATACATAGAACCGTGCCTCACATTCCATCACATAAACGATCTCCCAACATACATAGAACCTCACATTCCATCACATAAACGATCCCCAAACATACATAGAACCGTGCCTCACATTCCATCACATAAACGATCTCCCACCAACATACATAGAACCGTGCCTCACATTCCATCACATAAACGATCTCCCAACATACATAGAACCTCACATTCCATCAGATAAACGATCCCCCAACATACATAGAACCGTGCCTCACATTCCATCACATAAACGATCTCCCAACATACATAGAACCTCACATTCCATCACATAAACGATCTCCCAACATACATAGAACCGTGCCTCACATTCCATCACATAAACGATCTCCCACCAACATACATAGAACCGTGCCTCACATTCCATCACATAAACGATCTCCCAACATACATAGAACCGTGCCTCACATTCCATCACATAAACGATCCCCCAACATACATAGAACCGTGCCTCACATTCCATCACATAAACGATCTCCCAACATACATAGAACCTCACATTCCATCACATAAACGATCTCCCAACATACATAGAACCGTGCCTCACATTCCATCACATAAACGATCTCCCACCAACATACACAGAACCGTGCCTCACATTCCATCACATAAACGATCTCCCAACATACATAGAACCTCACATTCCATCAGATAAACGATCTCCCAACATACATAGAACCTCACATTCCATCACATAAACGATCCCCAAACATACATAGAACCGTGCCTCACATTCGATCACATAAACGATCTCCCAACATACATAGAACCTCACATTCCATCACATAAACGAACTCCTAACATACATGCAACCGGACCCCATCTTCATCACATAAACG